GTAGCAGTAGCAGGCTTGATTTCTTTATCAGAGTAAAAGTCATAAAGAAATTTTTTAAGAAAAGTGAAGAGTTGAAGAGAAAAAGTAGTTTGTAATTTTTTGTTAGGTTACATTTCTTCAATAATTGGAAAATTTGCAAGCCAGTTATATGTAGGGTTAGATTTTGGTTTGGTGATACTAAAATAGGTTTGAGAAGAGAGTTTGTTAATAATACTGTCAGGTGAGTTAGTATTGTTAGAATTATTAAGATTTAAGTTAGCATTATCAGAAATGTTAGTAATAGGGGGTTGGTTAGAGATGTGGTTAGTATTAGTAGTTGTAGTAAAGAAGAAATCAATAAGGTTAGAAGAAGTTGAAGTTTGGTTGGAAGAGGTAGTAAAGAAATTAGTAGTTTGAGAAGATTTGTATAGAATGTTTTGGAAGGTTTGAGTGAGATTTTTCTTAGTTTGAGATAGACTAGCTTCATATTAAGATAAGGTAGTCATGCAGATGAAGTGATAGACTTCATTGTTTTTAGTAACATATTTTTTATTAGAGTAATGCCAGTCATTTTTCTTGGTACAACTGATTGGAAGAGAACATTTGGGACAAGTATGATAATGTACATCAGGAGTAGGAGATGAAGAGATATTGTCAATTAAAGAAGAGAGATTAGTTAGAAGTTGTTGGGCTGGTTTGTTAAGATTTTTTTTTACATTACTGTTAACATAAATTGTAGTAAATTCAGTAGCTTGAATATAGTTAATATTAGAAGTTGAGATAAATTTGGTATGATATTTGTTACAGAGACAATTAATCACAGAGGTATAAGTAGGAGCTTGAAAAAAATAAGTAATTTTGTTGTTTCTGAGATTTTTAATTAGACAAGAAGTTGGTTTGACTTTAGGAGGAATTGGTGAGCATTGTTGCCATTTTCTTCTTTATAAAGGGCAATTCCAAAACTGTTAGAGAAGTTTTGGTAGAAGAAATCAAGGTCTGCAGTATCAGGTTCTTGGTTGCTTAGTGTAGGCATTTTTAAATTTATTATAAATTAAATGAATATTGTATTGGAAACTTAGAAAGATTTCTAATAGTTAGGTAGTTGATTTTACAAGAGTAATAGATGAGAACAAGGGTTATATAGTTGAGGTATTATAGAAGTAATACTGGTGTGTAACTAGAATAGTTAGGGTCACAAATATGGCTTAGGTACTGGTACAATTAAAGTTTGCAACACAAATTGTTATGTAAAATTAATAAAAACCAAATATGGAAATAGCTAATTGTGTTTAATAAATTTCTATTAATAGATAGGTTACAAAATTTTGGTATAAATTAATAAAATATATATTGTGAAATGATGATATGGTTACACAAAATCCATGTAAGAGAAAAAGAGAATAGTATAAGAACAAAAGGTAGAAAAAAGGTTTTACAAGAGAGTAAAAGATGAGTTTAGCTATAGTTTTGTCAATATTGAGTCAAAATTCTTCTTTTAGAGCTTGTTTTGATTAAACAAGTATGCACTACAATTTTAATTAAAGGTATAAGACAAATTATTGTAGTAGAAACTGTGAAAGAATTAATTTTTTAAAATTGAAGACCAAAAGCTGTCAGTATAGTTTTCTTTGTGAGTTTAAAAGATAGATCTATAATATTTTCAAAATATATATAAACCATTGAGCTGAACAAGTTTACTTAAGACGCCAAGACAGATTGTCTTAGTAAAATAAAATGTTATAAACGTTTTTAGACAGACAGTTTTTTTAGTTAATTTTTGTGCAATGAATTTGTAGAAAGAGTTTTGAGTTTCAAAAATATTAAAGAAAGATAAATATTAAATTTGTTATCTATTTTGATATTTAGATATTAGTTTTTTTTATTAGTTATTGTTACTGATAATCTAACAGTAAACTTTTTAGGTCTAATTTTAATATTATTAGCAAATTTGATATAATAAATAAATTAGTAGTTATTAAATAAATAAAAATAATTCTGGCAAAATTAATATAAAATTATAAAAAATTTGAGTTCTATATAGATGAATAGTAATAGGTAATACAAAAATTTTAGAATACTTAAGTTTGATAAATAGGATAATAATAAATTTGTAAATAAGTTTTTTGAAACTTCTTTCTAAAACATTAAAAGAAATTGTAGCTTTATAATGAATATTTAAATTAGTTTAAAATATAATATTTAAAAGAAATTTAGGTCTTGTTTTAGTTATTTAATAGATAATATAATAAAAACTAATTATAAGCTCTTTTTTGCTTTTATTAGCAGTCTTAATTTCTTTTTTTTAGATAAAAATTAAAAAAATATTGTTTAAAGAAATTAAATAAATTATAAGAAAATTGTATTTAAAATTTTGTATTATTTTCTATTTTAGTTATAACTAAAAAGTTAGTTAATCATTCAAATCTTAAATTAATTTTAATTTTAGTATTTGAAGATAGAGATTAATTTTAATGAAATTATTGTTGTTTTTGTTATTGTTACTATTGTTTATTGTTTGTAGATATAATATCAATATTCTATTATTATTATTTTGGTTATTGACTAATATTATTAAGAATTAAGTTGAGAAGTAAGTAAATTGGATTGTTGTTGCTTAGTATATATTTGTTAAAGTTTATTAATAAAAGACTGCTTCTAGCTTCATTAAATCTTTATTTTGGTAGTTCTTATTTTTAACTACTCTATTATTTGCTTTTTTTCTTTTTTTCCTATTTATATCTTTAGTATCTTTTTCTACTATTATACATTTTTTTTGTATAAGTCTTTTGATTTACTAATTGTATTATTGGTAGCTTTAGTTTCATTTTTGTTGTCATAATTTGTACTTTTTTTTCAATATCATACATTATATTTTGCATATTGGTTTCATGTACTTCTTTTTTTTAATTAACTAAGATGCTTTCTTTTATTGTTATACTCTTTTTTTTTGAAAGATTTTTATGCATATTTTTATATTTGTCTACTAAGACTCATATAATATATACTTGAACTGGGTCACTTGCATCTAAAAACTTTGCTATATCTATATCTATTTATGCAATACAATCTTTTAATTTGTTCAGACATACATACTTTTTTACTAATATTTTTTGATTTAAGTTATAAAACTTTTTAATTTCTACTATCAGTATTTTTAATATTTAACTTTCTATACTATTCTATTTCTAAAAGCTTTTACTTATTTAACTAATTAATGATAGTACTTATTCTTATTATTAATAATGTCTTATTTAATTAACTATATTTTATACTTATTGCCTAATTGGATATATGCTACTTTGTTTGCTTGTTTGTTTACTAATTTAATGTAGTTGTTTATTTTGTAATTTGTTTATATATCAATTAATCAGCATTACAAGATTACAGCTAGGTTTTAGATTTTTTAAAAATTTTTTAAAAATTTTTGAATAAGCTTTTTTGTACTTTGAGTAAACAACTTCTCTTAAAAGTTGTTCTATTAAACTATAGCTATTTTTGTGGTTTTTTTTTCCTAATGACACAAGGCCTGTTTATTTAAGTAACTTTTGAGCAAACTAAAATGTATTGATTTTTGACTTAGTAAAATTGAAGATTAGTAAAAAGAGTTATGTGTTAATAGCATATATAATGTAAAGATCTTATATAATAAATAAAAATTTTCTTTTAATTTTTTTAAAAAAACTTAAATATTACAAAATTTTAGTTATGAAACTGCCTTTGAAATTCTAATAAAAAAAGTTTCTTATTAAAATTTGCATATATTAATGCTTCAATAAAATTTTATATCTCATTCTAACTCTAAAGTAAATTAAAATTTAGTTTGTGTTTTATATGTAGTGCATTATGTATTAAATACTAAAATTCTTTTAAAAAACTTATTATATATTTAACTATATGATTATATAAAAAAATAACTATAATTAATTTTACAGAAACTTGGATTTCTTAATGTGCAGTAACTGTGTAGTAACTGTATTGTAACTATATAGTCACTATTAAACTTAATAGTAACTATATAGTTACTATATAGTTTCCATATAGTTACTGCGCATTAAGATATTCAAGTTTCTGTATAGAATATGTATTTTAAATCAAAATTTCACAAAACCAATATTATAACTTTACAAACAAAATTATAAAATCTTATCTTTTAAACTTATAGAATTTAAAAACTAAATCTTTTGTTTTATATTTAAAAAAAATATCTTTATAACTTTGCTTATAAACCTATAAATACTGTATAGTCTTTACAAACTTTTAATTTAAAATATTAAACTGTTAAGGTTGTGCATCTCTAAATTTTATAAAAAACTATAAGTAAAATATATAGGCTAAATGTAACAAAAAAGAAAGAAATCAACAAAAAAAAGATCTTCAAAAAATCAATTTTTATATTATAAATTTTATTGATAAAAATTTTTAATTAGTACTACTTTTGTATTTTAAATAAAAAGTAGCACCTAACCCATAGTCTTCTATATAACATTTTAGATACATATTAAGTTTTTATGTAATACCACATATACGTAGTTTTGATTTACATAGTATATCGCGCACCCTACCGTTTCATGTAATAATTTTCGAAAGTCTAAAACTTTGTGTTTTGGATTTCTTTGCACCGAGATCGAAGGCATGCCAAAACTTAAATCTGATAAAAGTTCTTTTATTTCTTCTTACAGAAGCGGATATATCCCTATTCCAGTGAACAACACCGGCCTTATTAAGCATTATATATTAAAATTCGGATTATTAATGCCGAACGCATTAGTGCAGACCCGTAATCCTAATTTTAATTTAATAACGGTTAATAAATAATTCAACTTGGAAGTGAGGATAAATCACGTGACCAATCCATCTGCCCCGCTTTAAGGGACCCCCAAATTTGGCATTGTAAGATCAGCATTGTACATACTGATACATATTTATACGTACGAACGTACGTAATCACGGTAACTGATAAATCATTCTTAATTTTTTATTGATTGCAATATTAATTTTCTTCAGAGGCGAAATATTAGACAATGGCTGAAGAAGAAATAGGTATTCGTTTGAACATTTGGTCAATTTTCGGTAATAAGCTCGATCAAATTTCAATAATAATCTTAACGAAAACATTACTGTCTAGGATTACTTGAAAAAGTCGAACTTCGACTTGCGCTTGCTGAGACCGACGCCCAACTAGAAAAGCTTCTTAATGCCTTTTTGAGTCCAATACTTCTGAAGTTGGCGAGCCCTCATGAAGTTGTACGGACCAAGGTTAGATAAGAATTGGATTCAAAATATATTTAAATTTGAATTTATAATTCTAAGCTAGATTGATCACATTTTAGGTTATGGGTATATTAACTCATATAAACAAACGAACTCGGTCAAAAAATGATATCAAACTTCCGTTGAATCCGCTTATTGATCTTGTTTGTAGTGACAAAGTCACACAATCAGCATTTGTTAAAAATTTTGCCATAATATATCTTGAAATGGCTTATTTCCGTTTAACAGAAGAGGTATAAAGTATTAATTACTGCATTTTCTTTTCATCCTATGATTAAACCTTAAAACTGCTCATTTTGAATATTTATAGGACCAAATCACTCATCTGCCAAATTTAATTAATAATATCGCCTCAAAACCTCCAGCATTAAAGCAACCTTTATTTCACATCATTCTTACGGTAAAACGCATTTATGATTTTTTTTTATAATTTGTTTATAGTCTCACATGAATTTTGTGACTCCAGATCTTGCAAAAATTCGAACCAAAACCTGCAGATTCTCCTTCATCGTTAGATCCTTTTAATTTCGCAGAAAATCTAAATGATGCCAAATTTTTGTTAGCATCATTTTTAGATCTTATACTATACATTGTACCACAACAGCCAAAGCTACGACTTCAACAATCGACCGGAGGTGACTCTAACTCTGGGTAATCATTATTATTATTTTTGTTTTTAGCATAAAAAACTATAGTTCTCACTGATACTTACTTGAAGGCAGCAAGAAGGATCTCAAAATTTGGCACAACTTCCACCGCCGGGCATGAGCATAAAAGCCTTGAAATTTGTCACTAATGATGGAAAAATACAATGGACTGAGAGAATGTCAGATCTCAAACTTATTAAGGTTTAAATTTGGTTTTTTTTAAGTGCACTTCTATCACAATTGAAGAAAATTTTAATAATCATTTTATTCTAAAAATAGATGGGAATTCTTCGATTCATCAACTCTCCAGTAATACTACCGGATTCATTACCAGAAGAAATTCATTTGGCTAAGTTTTTGATTCTTTTGGCAGCTAGTTGTGATTCTTTTAATGAAATTGTTGATGGGGGTGAAGATGGGATTAAGAAGATGAAAAGACCTGATATGGAAAATATAGGAGTATGCAAGAATTATTATGGATTATTTAATATTTTATCTTCATATTACATTTTTTACATTCTGCAAATTATAATTACTTTTAGGTAGTTAAAAGGTTATATTTTCTATATCAAGGCACTGTTAATCAGGGAACTGCAGTATCAAGTATTTATTATTATATTTTCTATTTAAATTCAAGTTCTATTTAAATTCAAGTATAAATGTTTTTTGCTTTGTATACTATATACTATATATTTATTTTAAAGCTCAGCAAGAGACATTACAACAACCAGCATCACCTGCTCTTAAGCTCAAAATAATGGGTTATATTTGCAGATCTAAGTTGGCAACAAATACATTTCCATCTATGTTGCAAGTTGCATTTGATTGTTTGTATGGTAAGTATATTGTTTAAGATTTAACTTATTGTTATAAACTAATGTGGTGTTTTTATTTATTTTAGGTCCTACAACCAATTCTAAATTGCAGAATCAAGGAATGTTATTTGTTCAATGGATTGCTAGAATGGTTAATATACATTTTAAAATTTGACACCTTAAAATAATAATTATATAGACTGACTAAGGCATATATTGTAATATGTATATCAGGCTGAAACTGCATTATTGAAACAAATTGCACAAGTGCTTTTGTCTGGTCTCTTAAAGATCATCAATGAAGGTGACATAATTCATTTGGCTATGCTAATACAATCATATTGCTTTGATGGAATTTTATTCTAAACTACGTTGATTATAATTTTAAAATTGCAGATAATGAGAATATAAAAGGAGATAAAGAAACTTTAATAGGATTTTCATATATATCTATTAGCTTATTAGCCAAACGAGGTAGAAACGTTTTTACAATATATACATATTTTTGTTCATACAGTAAAAATGGGATGTTAATTTTTCATCCTTTATCAGTACCAGATATCTTTCGGCAAGATTTTTCCATACTTAATATGCTTTTCTCGGCTTTGTCCGCAAAGAGTAATAATCTTCGTGTATCAGTACAAGAAGCATTGTCAAATATGGTTGAAGCATATCAGAATATTGATCAATGGGCGGATATGAATACAATCAATATGATTGAAAACATTTTAGAAGAAAATGTTAACAAGGTCCGTGATGATGGTTCTGTGACTCAAATTATGACTTATTTTACAAAAATTTAATTTTAATTGACAACTATTAGTCAAATTAAAATTCAATTTCAAATTTGGTTTTGTCAACTCAAAATACGAAGTTGATTTTGTCAAATTCAAACCTGGTTTTATTTAATTTTTTTACGAGAATTCTGTTATATTATTTTTACATTTATTAAGCTAAAACCTTATAATATTATATTCTTTAGCCGTTGCATCAAGCTCGCTATTGTGCAGTAAAATACGCAGTTTCCCTTTTTCCATTCTCTAACATCCCTTCCCGATATATCTGTCTTCTAGCTTCAGCAGATGAAAAACTAGAAATTCGAGAAATGGCTTTACGTGGTTTGGCATTTCCAGATCCAAGGGCTCCTAAATTGTATCCAAATGAACCGGATAAAGAAATTAAAACACCTTCATTCTTTGAAGTGGTTAACTTAATTGATGCAAAATCAACCCAGCGTAATCAACACTTACTTGATGTCTTACAAACTAGCCAATCTACTGGCCAAATATATATTTTGGGCTATCGTTCTGACGTTTATATTAACATATTACGATTCTTAAGGCATTTGATGATTGTCAATGCGGACCCAACTGCCTTAATTGATGATTTATCTGATGAATTAGATGGAGAAATCAAGTTATTTGATTCCAACACTCGAGCATTAGTTAAGACTTGGATAAAGGATCAATTATCACCTGATCAAGAATCACAAGATACAATGGACATTGATGTGCCTCAAGGTGCATTACACATTTACCTTCGTTTAATTGAAAAGAGCTTGAAAGCTGAAGGCATAATAGGCAAGTATACTTATTTCTATTCTAAGTTCATACACAATTACATTATAATAAATTTTTAATGCTGACTTTATTTTAGACACATCGCTGCAGTTCATGGCTTCTTCATGTCTTTTAGAACTTATATCGTTGGGGCCATCATCTTTATCACGGTCTTATGAAAGCAAAATAAATTGGTTCAAGGTTATAGACATTCATTATTATTTGAATTATTTCGTTATTGATTGTTAATATACTTATATATATTATGGTACTCGATTATAGTCATTCTTGAGCGCAATTAAATTAGGGGTACGTAACTCTATGGCCCATTTATTAGGAATCATAAGTACAAGTGAATTGGAAAGTGATCCAGTAAGAATTTCATCTATTCAAGAATTGATTAAAGAGCTTATTACCGTTGGCAGGGATCAGTCAAAACAGGTAAATTTTAATCATTTGTCCGTATTTTTAAACAATAAATTTAGCTAATTTATTTGCGATAAAGACCAAGGTTGAATATCATGATGGAAGCATTCTGGCATTGGGATACATAATCGGCCGTTTAACTTATCGATATCCATCTACATATCAATCCATCGTACCAGCAGATCTTTTGTCCGAAATAATAGAAATCATTTCCGAAGATTTAGATTCAACAAAGAGTTCAAGTGTAATTAACGCATCTAAAGCATTGGGTGAAATTTGTCGTTATACATCACTTTTATTTGAGAATTATAAGGGTAAAAGAAAAGGTGATGACTCGTCTTCATACGATGACCAATTAACTAAGATCTTGGAGAAATTAATTACTCTTGCGAAAACCACTAAAGATGTCAAGGTTTGTTACTAGTTAAAAATATAAATATTTAAAGCATACCAGATTAATTTATAATCGACATTTACAATAGACGCAAGAAACAGCTGTCACTGCTCTCGGTCATATTGCTTTGGGAAATTCAGAATATACCGAAAAAGTTTTATCTTTATTTTATGATTTAACTTCTACTCTTAACAAGCAAGTCGAAGTACATTTCACTGTAGGAGAAGCTATCACATATATCACAACAGGATGGGAAAGTTTAGCATTAAATCAATATTTAGATATCGCAGATGCTTCTCCTCCATCGATTTCTATTGACAATTCAATTATCAATGGGGTCCTAAACAAGATATTTTCCGATTTATTACCGTCTGGTAAGGTCGCCGTTAAAAAAGCCGTATGCGTATGGATGCTATGTCTGGTTAAGTTTTGTTCCAAGCATGAAATTATTAAGGTGAGGTTTTTACCGTTATTAACATTTCTCATAAATAATAGATATGATAGTGGTAATAAATTTTTTTTTTTAATTGTTAGACCGCTCTGCCGAAGATTCATTCTGCATTTTCCATGCTTTTGGCCGATCGTGATGGTAACTAGATTAATTCGTTCAAGTTAGATATTACAAAAAAAACATAATCATTGTTATTTATTTATTTATTTATTTTAACATAGAATTCACTCAGGAAGTTGCCTCCAAAGGCATAGGACTTGTATATGAATTGGGTGATGAAAATATGAGAAAACAACTTGTCGATTCCCTTGTTGATATGCTTAGTGAAGGAAAGCGTCAGAAAGAAACTATTAACGCAGATACCCAACTTTTTGATTCAAACACTCTTGGTCAGACACCTGACGGATCTGCTATTTCTACTTATCAATCTATCCTATCTCTTGCATCAGACATGAATCAACCAGAATTAGTATACAAATTCATGCAATTAGCTAGTTATAATGCTATGTGGCAATCACGGAAGGGAGCTGCATTTGGATTTTCATTTATCATTGCACAAGCAGAGAAGGAATTAGAACCTTATTTGAAAGATTTAATACCTCGATTATATCGATTTCAATATGATCCTAATCCCAGAGTAAACGAAGCTATGAGTAGTATTTGGAAAGCGTTAGTAAAAGAGCCTAAAAAAGCGGTTGAAGAATACTTTAGTGTAATTGTCAAAGATTTACTTAAAGGCCTTGGAGATCGGTTTTGGAGAACAAGAGAATCCAGGTACATTTGCGTATTTTAATTAACAAATATGTTTTTTCATATTTTCTGTAGTCTATTACTGACATTAAAATACTTTAGTGCCAATGCATTAGCAGATCTTTTGCAAGGTCAGTCGATCCAGGCACTTGAGCCATATTTGCAAGATTTATGGACCATGTGCTTCAGGGTTTTGGATGATATTAAAGTAAGTCTCACTTTAAGGCCATTGCTACTTCTATCGTTCTAATTAATCATTATGATTTATATATTTATAACTTGAAGGAAAGTGTACGTGTTGCTGCTTTTAAAACGTGTCGCGCGCTTACAAAGGTTACCGTGAAATACTGTGATCCTGATAATGTATCCATCAATGATGGTCAAAAAATAATGAACATTATAATGCCATTCCTGTTGACGAAAGGCTTATTATCTGATTCTGAAGATGTGCGCAAATTTTCTCTAAGAACAATCCTCAAGATCTGTAAATCAGCCAGGACTTTATTAAAGTCACATATTACAGATATTGTTGGAACTTTGTTAGAAGGGTTATCTAGTATGGAGCCACAAGTCATGAGTATGTATATATTTATAGTGCTCTTATTGAAATACTTTGGCTGTATTAAATATTATATATTTTTTTAGATTATCTTAGTTTCCATGTTGAAAAATATGATGTTACTCAAGAACAGGTCAGTAGTATTGTATAAAAATATATTTAATGAAAAGCTACAAGCAATTTATATTTTATTTGTATGATTAGCTTGAGAACTCTCGATTATCTGCTGCAAAAATGTCTCCAATGATGGAGGGTATTGAGTCATGTATTGAATATATTGACGAAAGTGTTATGGAAAATTTAACACCCAGGCTGTTACAACTTGTTCGTAAAGGTGTCGGTCTACCAACAAAGGTGATCTAAATGATTTTAGATATTATTTAACTCTTTTGTTTATGCCATAGTTTTTCTTAGCGTATATTTGATTTCAGGCTGGTTGTGCAAGATTCTTGGTATCGTTGTGTCTCAAGAAAGCATCAATACTAAAACCACATGCAGATACTGTCATTAAAGCCTTAAGTGGTGCTATTCTTGATACGTCACCTGCAGTCCGAAAATCATACGCCGTTGCTGTTGGATATGTTGCCCATTTATCATCTGATAATACTTTAATTAGATTAATTGGACATTTAAAGAAAGTTTACTGCGAAAATAATGGTATGAAAAGTTAATTCAATTATACTTATGTAATTTTTCAATTGATTTTTATGACCTTTTTTTTTGATTTTCCAATTATAGAACAGGAAATACGTTCTATTTCGGGCATAACTGTTCTGGAGATTTCTAGACATGCGTCAGACGAACTAAAGCGGATATATGTGGAAATCTTACCACTTGCTTACTATGGCTTGCATGATTCTGATACAGGAATTAAAAATGTATGGAACGAAGTATGGGACGAGAATACTGCTGGTACAATAAACTCATAACGAATAATAATACATGATTGATTATTTTGTAATTCATGCATCATTTTGTTTATATTTTGTATTAATTTAGGCTCTACTAGTGCCATTAAATTGTATCTTAAAGAATTAATAGACCTTTTGTCAACATTATTGGAGTCACCATCATGGCAAACTAAACGTCAAGCTGCGTTGACAATTGCTGATGTTGCTAAAATAATAGGTAGTAGAATATTTTCGAAGGGTTAAATTATATCAATATTTCCTGACATGAATTTTTCAATCTCAAAATTTTAGAAAAAAGTTTATTGCCTTATATGACACAAGTTATTCCACTATTAATGAATGGTTTGTCGGGAAGGACATGGGTCGGAAAAGAGGCACTTGTTGAAGCACTTGTAACAGCTTCTATATCGTGTAAAGAATATTTTAATGATGATAATACACGTGTACAATTGAATGATATTTCGAAAGTGAGACTAATTTGGTTGATTAATTATTTTTAAATTGCTAATATTTGAAATTAAAATATTTCGTTGTTTATATGTTCATATAAGATTCTCGTGCGTGAAAGCAAAAAAACAAACAAGCAATATAAACGTCATTGTATCGACAATCTGGGAAGATTTGTGGATTCTTATATTGATATCTTGGATATTTACACAGATGTAAAGGAGTTCTTAATTGAATTGGCGACTAGTGATCAAGATCCTAATGAAATGGACGAAGATGATGCCAATCAACAACCATTATTCCTCTTAGTTAAAGCAAGTGCGATGAAATGCCTTGGATTAGTTTGGCCAAGAAAAATGGAAATTCAAGGTATGCATTAAATGAATTGACCACTGATATGTCTCAAGTGATATTAACGGATTGGTATTTACATATATGTCTGTATAGCGTTGCATTCAAAAGAACTTGGTCTCGTGTTTGCTACATCCTTGGAATCAAGTAAAAATATATGGAATGTTCGTCTTGGGGTTCTTGCATCTCTCGACAAATATATTGATAAATTGGATCTCAAAAAGAATGATAAAACATTGGTGTTGGATGAAGAAACTTTACTTTCTATCTTCAGCGGATTAAAGAATGGACTACAAGATGCAAAATACGTTGCAGTTCGTACGGCAAGTTTGGAAAGTTTCAAAAAAGTTATTGAAAAAGTTAAAGGTGAGAAAATATTTTTATGCACAGTTTATGCCGTAACAATCAAGTAATTACATTTTTTCTCTTTATTAGATACACATTTGTCTTTGCCTGCAGTTAGGAACCAATGTTTGGATATTATTAATATTGTAGCAAGTGACCCGGTGCCTGGTATTTCTGAGTTAGCTAAAGATATACGCAGAACTTTATATTAAACTTTTGTATTTCAAAAAATTGAATGTTTTTTTTTTTTATGATTTTAAATTCTTATACATTTTCATAGACTGGCCAATAAAATTTGAAGTGTAAAGCATTGTTTAATTTAAATAATTAAAATTTTTAGTGTAGATATAAAAAATTACTATTCACTGATGTTACTAATTTTCCCTAAATTTTTGTTGGCTGATTATTCGCCCAATTTACGTGTTATCTTTTTATAGCGCGTAGAGATGCAGACATTTCTCAGGTTAAGGGTAGCGGCATATAAAAATCGGGTAGCTACTTACAGTTATGTTATATGTTATTTAATGCCTGCATTGCTAATAACGTGACATCTTGGTTAGGGTGGGCAACAATATACTAAAATTATTATTATTTTTTTGTTAGTTATGAAATGATTTTTTAGGCGAAAATTTGAGATTTATTTATTTTTTTTTTTTTTAAGAGTGAGGCTTGGCCTCGATTTTTATTGACCAATTTTGGTATTACATTAACACTAAAATGTTTTACATGAATTATTACATGGACCTATAGTTAGGACTAGTTTATCTGCCCAAAACTCTATTAGAGTAGGTTATCAGATCTTTTTTAGATTTAGTATTGCAATGTAAGATGTAGATATGGGTTAGGTGCTGAGAAAAAGAATGAAATTGACACTTTTTTCAAAAGCTGTTTTTTTATATAAATCAATTTAAAATAAGATTAAAATCATTTTTCACTTAAGGCTCAAAAATATATAGTTTGACTATTGAATACTTTATAATTACCTTACAAATAATATTTTATACTATTAAATTTTAGTAAGTTTTAAACACTTTAGTAGGTTTATATTGCAGATAAATTAGATAGATAATAGCTAGTTTCTTTTTATAGTTTAAGCTTTACTTTTGTAATAAAGTTATTGTTTAAATAGATTTTGTATTTTATATTCAGAAAAACCCTTAGAAGCATCTTTAACAAATTAATAAAGATATAAGCAAAATTTCACCTTAACTTCAAAAAAAAAAATAATTGGTTAATGCTTTAAAATAGTAATATTACAAATTCAAATTGTATATAATATTTTTTTAATGTTGCTAATTTTATTTAAATTCTGATCATAGTTTTCAAGAACTCAGATTGCAATACTCTGAATTATAATTACAATAATGTTACAATATAAAATAAACAATTAGAATTATTTGAATATATAAGAATTATCTAATATTAGAGAGAATTTTATTTATTACATTAATAAATATAGTATTTCTTTTATTTTTTTTTTTATACATATAAATTTCTTTTAACTCAACTTCATTTTAATAACAATAACTGATTTGTATTACTGTTTTCAATTACTTATATTTTTTTGAAAATTGAAAATAACTTAAATATATAAAAATCAAAAAAGCATTATATAAACACTAAAAAATTCATATATATATAATTACATCAAAAACTAAACTATTAAATTTTTAGTTATATACATTAATATTTTAGATATACACCAAAGTTATCATGTAAACAATTAATAATAAAAAAATATTATTTTTTGTTTTATTTTAATAAATAAAAATAAATGCTTATCTGAAATATCTTTATAAATCATTTCTTGAATTTGACTTTAGAGTTGGCATTCAAAATAAAACCTATCTGAAACTAGTTTTAAAAGACTCTAATCCAAAACTAGTTTCAGATTTTCTAAAAAAGTCTGAAACTCTGAAATCTAAAATTCTGAAACTATAATCTAAAACTCTGAAACTATAATCTAAATTTTTAAAAATTATAATTTAAAAAATACAAACAAAAAAATTTAGACTAACAAAGTAATAATAAATTAATCATTCTACTTATTTCAAATAACTTAATAAATAGAATATTTTAGTATAGTCAGAAAGTATTATAATTACAGTTTTTATAATTCTTCAATTTGTATAATAACACAAAGTTTTTATTAATACTACTGAGCTATTTATTACTATTATTTTTTTTAATAACTTATTGTTGCTGTATCCTGGATTTAAATAAATAATTAGAATTATAATCTTCTAGAAGCATATTAAAAATTAAACTTATAAGATTTTCTGGTTTATTCACATTTTTTTGATTAGTTTTTATAATTCATTTCAAATTTCATTTTTTTTATATTTATCATTAATGGAAATTTGATTACGCAATTAATATATATTTTTAGAATAGTGTGTTTATTAGATTTTATGCTTTTAATGATTGTTTTATAGTTTAAATAATTAAAGAAAAAATATACTTACAAATCAATTAGTTAATATTTTGATAAATATTATTATCATAATTTAATCATGAACTAAGAATATTATATAATTTTTGAAACTTTTTTAGATGATGATTTTATTTAATTTATATTGATTATGCTGAAATTAATAATTCATTGAATCCATCTAATTAATTTTTTATAAGATAGGTTGGATTCTATAGTTTAGTTATTAAACTCTCATCTTCCTATATACAAGGTCAATAGTTTGGGTCTAACTGAGGGTAAAATACTTTATAACCAAAAATAGAACCTATAATCAGATGCAAAATTCTATAGAAGTTCAAGTAAAGGTATAAGAAATTCCTAGAAAGAAACCAGTATAACAGAATACAAGTACTACTATAGTGAAAAATGTGAAGAATGTCATTAATGATTGTAGAAAGAATTGGTCTTACCTAATATGAAATCATCTTTAACATTATAAATCTAAATAAGTATAGTTGTAATATCTACTTCTATTTAGTAGAGTTTGTGTTGAGGGTAAAGTAATCCTAAGATTTGTTATTAAAAAATTAAGTTGATACTATAGAAAAATATTGAAAATCAGAAACTTTAAATAAGAAACCTATAGAAAGATTTCAGGTATGACAATTAGTAAATAACCTGTAAACAGAACCTTTAAATAAACAATGATTAAAATTATATAAGTGACTAATTGTAGTCTTATTGATATACAAAATGTAATGTCCTCTTATAATATTTGTAGATTGTAATTTTTAATAAAAGATCATAAGTCATAGATATTGCTCTTTAAATCTAAAAAAAAAAAAATTCATAAGATGTTTTGGAAATAATGATAACAATTATAAATCTGGATCTAATAATTAAATTCATATATAAATTATTAAATTCAGATCAATGTCATTATAGTATTTACAATTTAGAAATTAGATTAGTTAATCTATTTTATATATTTATTGTAAAAATACAAGCTATAACTATTTTATATTATAAAAACTGGTTTAACCCAGGTTTGTATATATTGTGAGCTTGATTTTTGGGGTGATGATTCTTACCTGCTCCAAGGTTATGCAAAAAGTAACAGAAATATTACTTATAGTACTTATGATACTTATGGTACTTATGTCACTTTTACTACTTTGAACATATATGTATTAAATAACATATTAGTCTTTTATAACATTTAGTTAATATATTGAGTATAAGGAATATCTAGCATTTATGATATAAATTGATTACAAATGTAAATAAAATATTTATTATAAATAAAAGACATTTCTGCTCTGAGAAACAAAAATGAATCATCCATTTTGTAAATAAACTAATAAATATCTGATTAATAATAAATATAAGTGCTATAATAAACTAATAAACTACTGTTAACCCTACTATTGTCCATATCATTCATTCATTTATAAACCACTAATTTGCCATTGATGACTCACAGTAAGTCATGTGACAAGACTGTAACATAATAGAAAAGTTCCAACCCAATTTGATATAGAGTAATCCTGAGTTGAGGCATAGAAGAGAAAACAAAACAGACAAAAGAAGACAAAGATTAGTATGAGAAGTGGTTGAAGAAAAAGACTTGAAAAAGAAGACTAGTACTTACCTACAGATAAACTACCAGTCAAATCTAACATGCCTATTTTGACTTAGCTACCATAGATTATACGAGAGTTGGACTAGTTTAATGACAGACTCACTGATTTTCAGAATCACAATATAAAAAATAGTTTAGATTATACCTCTAATTTATTGTTATTGATTTTATAAAAATTTATTATACCAATACCAATAGGGTTTCAGGATTTCAGGTAAGGTTTCTGGTTTCAGATAAGGGTTCAGAAACTATAATCCAAAACCTGAAACTTTTGGATTCAGCCAAAAAGGTTTCAGTGACAAACTCTATTTGACTTGTAACTTTAATAAACCTTTCAAGACTCAATTCAACAGGCTGAATTAATTTGTAACATCGATTTGACTTATTAAGACTCGAATAATCATATAGCACATAGTCTGATAAAAGTATTGTGATACCAAATATTGTGATCGATCACGTGAAAAATGCACAAAATGCAATAAGTGCAATAAGTGCAATAAGTGCAATAAGTGCAATAAATGTAATAAGCATAATAAGTTACATTTAAGATCGGAAAAGGTATTTCAGATCTGAAGGGCTAGATAAGGAATAAAGGGAGGAAATAACGGATATTAAATAAATACGTGTAAATAGTTTAATTAGTTTTAATAGATAAGTCACATTTGTGAGTGACAAATTCAGTATTATAAATAAAGGCCGAAATGGCCCTAAGGGACGATATGTCTCGTTTGCTTTAGTAATGAACAAGTCCCAATA